CGGCCTCTCGGGATGAGGATTACCACGGCTGTTGATTTTGGAGGGAATCGCGACACGATTCGTCTGTTATGAGCTCTATATCGACTTTGATTGATGATACCAGCTTAAGGATAAATAGAGTCTAATCAATTCTATTGTTTCTAGAAGTGTTCTGATGATTTGGTTGTTCGTTGAAAAGGTTATCGTACGGGACGAACTACGAAAGTCGCTTAGAACTAACCAATTGCCCGCGTTAGCTCCCACGATGACAAGTACTAGGTACGGCTACGGCGTACTGCAGCTACTGCCGGCACCACGTGCTGGGTTGTATCAAGGGTTCAGCCATCGCGAACTCCGATAGGGACGGCTTGAGGTGGTTGGTTGGCATCGTTTGGCTCGCTGCAGATGCATCCAGGGATTGGGACTACAGATCTTCAGGGCGCGGGTTAGGGTTGATATCAATCTGAATCTTTGGCCACAATCGTATTATCATTTGCCGTTTGCTTACTGTCGATTCCTTTGTGTTTCCTTGCTGCATATAGCCACTCGCTGTCATGCAGTGACACTCTGCCAACGCATTTGTCGGCGGCCGACCTGATCGATAGCGTTGTATGCGTAATACAAGATATCGGCGTGCATGGTTATCGTAGTCACGGTATAGCTGGAAGTTGTGTCTCATCTTTAGTGCTAGTCAGATACAAAACTTCGATCTGAATATCGAGTTGTACTATCCGTCCATCTTCACCACGGGTATGGCTTTGTGTAGCTATGTGATTCCGCTCATCACTTAATCGAGCACATTTCGATCATGACCTATACACGCAATCGCTTTTACACGAAACCGCCTCGAAATTTCCGTTGTGCTGCAAAGAACCCCTCCCTTTTCCCACGAGACAACACTGGATACGTCTCGCCAACACGGATGTCCTCTTCGCCGATATTCCAAGTCCCTTCTTCGGCATTGCTACCGTGAACCGCACTGACTAATCCACGATTATCACATATCCAAGCCTATTCTAGATGGCGAGATAGTTGCAATCGAGAACTGTTCTGCTGTCCTTACTGATATTAAGGAGGGTACAGGTTATCAGCACAAGAAACTATACAGGCATACACCGAAGTTTCTGTCTAGACAAATGGCGTGGCTTGTCCCTATTTTTGTTACCGCCATTATAGTAGACATTTCCATGAGAACATTACCGGCGGCAGCATTACTAAAATCGTTGAGATAGGATGGCCGCCGATACGCGTGAACATCAGGACCATTTTCGAAAACACTTGAGACCCCAGGCGTCCAACAACAGCAAGTATCGAAAACGTCTCGGGCAACGAGACTGGCAAAATTGTAAAATGCCAATCACAACCTCACATAGACTGTACAAAAAAGTGTGCACGTCAAGTGCCAGGCGGATACTGTTTGGCTTCGTAGAGGGTTACACCTGATCCGAGATATTAGTTGAAATTACTACATAGCTAAATTCCGGTAAGTAAGCTAAATGGATGAATAACCTGTTCATCTGTGGCGCATAGGGTGTGCAACGTGGCGGGACAGATAAGGCACAGTATTCCGATTGTTCACGGTGGTGAATCCTGACGCTGTCGTTGAAAATTTGGAGAGGAGCGTGTGAGGACGGGGGAGAGCCCCTGGAGGTAGTATGAGCCGATCCTGGTGGAGAATTGTGAAGGTTTCCAGCGAGACGTCGGATGCTAGTCATTTAGTTGCCGCTGAAGATACCCGTCCGTCCTCTGCTTCTGGACGACACCCACCTGTTCGATCAACTGAGTCTAATCGTGATGCTGTCATCGACAGATTTTGGGAGGCTCAACTTAAACCATCGCGAAAAATCCTATTGGTGTCAACGACGATGAAGTTCTGAAGGTGAGTTGTATGGAGTTGACAGTGGTCTCGAAATTCGAGATACTTGGAAAAAGGGCACCGGATTAGGAGACACTGCGTGCCAATTTCTCATCGTTTGCTACGAACCACAAACCCGACATGGCTCGCTTCTCCTTGGACTTCATCCCAAGCGAACGTCGATCCGGTCCGTGAATTTCCGTCCCCACTACCTCTGCACCAGAACACACCCAAGACCTCAAGGGTGACAAATCCCTTTGTCGTCTACGTATTCACCGTCGTTCTTCTCGATGTATATCATGTTCCGTTTCCCTCCACCTTCCGCGCAAGACTTGAAGTTCAGCAGGCGCTGGTAGCCTCCTATACCGTCTGGTAGGCTGCACTATTACACAATCCAATCAGTTCACTGACCAAAAGACGCAGTGGAAGAGATTCATGGAACTTACCCATGGATAGTTGTAGTTATACAACCTATTAGGGGAAATAAAGGTTGATTGGTACCCCCTGTCGCCTCCCCTGCCAAACCACGCCTAAAAGGCGACAAGTATAGAAAAACTAGTCTTTTCTAAAAGAGATAGGAGAGGAAAAGAGAATGCTCGAAATCCGAGAGGAAATTACTCGAAGGGTAGAGAGAGAGAACGTAGAGACGTATCGATGTACGAGCCTTGGCCGGGGTGCAATTAACCTTCAAATCCCCTGATACGTTGTACCTCACCTTCTTGTAGGGAGTGGGTCGCCTCATGTAGTCATGATCTGTATGCAGGAAACTCACATGGTCCAGTGATGCATTCATTTGGACGTCGCAAAAAGAGATGAAGGTGGTCAAGTCTAAGCATGGTGGAAGCTTGGAGAGAGCTTGGCTGGCGTACGTCGCTCAGTGATACCTATTGATCTACTCCTCACCAGCAGCGACAACCTTCCTCCCCTCTCTCTTCTTTTCCTCGGCCAGTCTCAGCCATTCAGGAACAAACGCCTTGACCTTGACGCCCGTATCACCAAGATTAAACACCACATCTTCTCGGTAAGTCCCGCCTTCAGCAGATACCTTCAGAGACGTCATGTTTTCCAGTCTGCACAAAGCAAGTCCGATATTGCCTATCCCAGCTAGGAATTTGCCAGAAGCTCGTTTACCACCCTCAGCTTTGATATCCGTTCCTACTGCCACTTGCTGAGCCAGATCAGTATCTGGATTGTAGGTCGGCTGACTACTGGGACTTGGTGAGACGGTGTACAATTCCACAGGTAGTATTCTTTTTCGAACGACGCCAGTGTGTTGAGTCCGTATTGTCAATTCTTGTCCCACGTAGCAGCCTTTCCTGAAATCGATGCCGGCGAGATGGTCAATGTTGCTTTCCAATGGAAGAGCAGTTTGCGGCAGTATCTCGAGAGGGCCTTCCGGGATGCCATTCGTGTAGCGATGGAGGGTATATGATTCAGGTGGCGCCTCAGTAAGATTGGCTGCCGACTCGAAGGAGGAAGGTGTGAGTGTCGTGGACGACGAATTCGAAAGGAGAAATCTTGTTCCAAATGAGGACAAACGAGGGTCTGGTAGCAAAACTGACGTTTCCGTCGTCGAAGGTGTGGGAGCAGAAGCATATTGTTGCCATGAAGCCCAAACAGCCCACTCTTCCCCAGCTTCTCGCAATTGGATCTTACTCCGTAGCTTGTGCCTCTTAAGATGTTTCATCAGATCTCCCGAAACTGACTTGTCCACTTCTATTAAATAACCTCTTCCGCCCAGGCTTGCATCTCTGATGGGATAAATGATCGAGTCCATCAAGACTCTGCCCTGTGCGTTCAGAAATGCTGAGAACCATCCCGTCTCTCTCTTGGGATCTACATTGTTGGTCGTGAGTCCTTGCAGGAATTTGGACGCGTCGCTGCCAGTAACAGCTATGATAGTTCGGTTGGTAAGGCGAGCGTATCCGGACGGTAGAAGTTTTGCGGGTGTCGCGCTGTGGAGGCTTTGGCCTGTGGTGAATTGACGACGACGCTTCTTGAGGCAATTGGTGCAGATGTACGGAGGTCGTAGAGCAGATTTCAGAGACAAAGACATGGTGGCTGCATAGGAATGATTTACAAATCCCGCAAAGTCAAAGTTCAAGATGACGTCTCGGCTTGTTTCATTCCGTTGCTCTGCTGGGTTTGTAAGACGTGAGTCTCTCAGGTAACCTTCATCACTTTTGTCACATATTTCACGTTATGCAGAATTGATAGTGCTAGTCACTGGCTTTGCCGTTGTCACTCTGTCGAGAGTGACGAATGCATCACGAGAACGTCGAGCATTTTTCTCGACCTAGAACAGTCTGATTTCTCACGACCTGATACAACTCTTTCCGAACAGCTAAAGCAAATCTGGGCTGTTTGGTAGGTACGGACCGTCAAGAATGAGCTTGGATGCTACCATGAGATGAGTCGGTCCAGTTCGTTGATGTTGGGTGAGGCTGAACGAATGGTCTCACTCGTCAATGGAACTCCTCTGTAATAGGACAAAGCCACGAAACCAACGGGAGTCCTGTGGTATATTATGAGGAAATAGGTACCGCAACGACACGAAACATATCTGGCGACTTCGATTGGAACCCTTGCTTGCTTGCAAGTTCACGCTATATTTCTGAACAATAATTTGAGCGACCTATCTATGACACCCAACAGCTGCTTAGGTGCTCATGCTGTTTATCATTTTCTCCTCACGGCCGAGGGATATCCAGTCTATACACTGTGGTTGTTGATGCCCTGACTCGGGAATTCAGCATCATCCAGCACAATAAGAGATCAATTTCGAAAGCTCGATTTTCTTGGCAAATGAGGACGAGGACATGAATCCTCAAACTATACTACCAAGATGAGACGCGTCAAGTGAACGCCGCTTAAGCCGGTGCCCTGATCTTCATGAGTGAGTCTGACATGCTCGCTTTTCATTCAACTCCATCTCTTGCTCAAATCAGCCCATTTCATCGACAAAAAGCTACTTCTTGAACCGTGAGCGCCAGATGGCGAATAATTTCAATCCCGCGAGCATCAAGGAACAAAAGCCCCAACGCCCACGACTGGGTTTGATCCCGCCGCTTTAGTCCTTCCTGCAGGTCGAGTCCTCTTGCAGGTTGGAACAAGGGAAGAAGAAGACACGCCCGACTGACTGCTGCACGACCCCAAGCATAAAAAAAGCCCGACGGGGGGCTCGAACCCCCAACCTTGAGATGCCATTACGTGCTGTAAGAGTCTCACGCTCTACCGATTCTAGTAAAGGTTAGGTGAGTCAAGAGGTGGGAGAGGGGGAGTTTGGAACTTACGAGCTAGCCAGGCTGATGTTGTGATTGCTGGAAGATTTTGAGAATCCGTATTATTACTGTCAGTGTTTTTATGAGTTTTGGTTCTAGTTGGGTGGTGGAAGGTTGAGCTGTGTTTAGTTTTTGGATATCGTGATATCTGACATTCATTATCTCCTTCGATCTTAGGAAGTCGTTGGTCAAATATCATATGCCTCCAGTCAAATCTCTAGACTCTGAACAGGACAAAAAAGCAAACTTCACGAACCAATCACTCCTCCCAGGGACACGAGACTGGGGATGATGTCCCACCTCTACCACGGTAAACTCAAAGAACCAAGAAAAGCCTTACTAGCCTGCCTGTCCAGAAACTCAGAAAAATTCTCAGGCCCAAATGATAAAAGTCTTGCAGGACGAGACTATCAGCATCTTGTAGATTCCCAGAGAACGAATTTGATAGCATCAGCGGAGACAAACATTTGAGTGAAGGATGGTCGAGGATGCTTACCTTGTGGGGAATTGTGTCTTTTCATTTAGATCTATTCCTGCTTTGCTTTCTGGCATCATGAAATTTTCAAGTGAGGTGTTTGAGTTCGAGGAGAGTTCTTATCATCGAACGAGTCCTTGGTCGAGTCCGTCGCTACGAATTTCGCGTATCAGGTTATGTATTCCATTGTCGTCAGCTATCCTCGAGCTCTTGCCTCACGATATAATGACAAACTCGTGACTTCCTCACCATGTATTGTAGAAGACCGTGATCAAAACAATCCGATTCTTCTCTCTCGTCTCCAAGAATCACGAAGGAAATCCACACTGGACTCACCAAACACAGCGACAACCATGCGCGGTCATTCAAATTTCCTTCTAATCATCACCCTCACCGCTCTCCCCTCATCCACCACACCCACGACGCGCCTAACCACCACACTCACCCGTACAATCTACGTCTCCCGCTGCACCTCCCCAAACCCCGAAGCACCGTCCACCCACCCCAACAAAACCTCATCAGAGCCACCAAAACTCGAGTAAGCCAAACCCCCTCCACCCGTCCCCAAGTCCCATCCCAAACTCAACCTTGGATTAACCACACCCCAAAGCCTGCGCGAAATCGTAGTAGACCAAGGCGGCAACACCATCCTCGCAACCCAATACCCAACCGAAACAACAGTATGGAATCCGCACAAGATCAACGGGATCACGACGTGGTTACCGGATGTTTATACGCAGACGTTTGCGACGACGGTGCTTGATCAATTGCCCGGACCTTTGGAGGGGAAGATTGGGACGGAGAAGGTGGTGTTGCCGTTGGCTACTGGTGGGGCGGGGATAAGTCATGAGACGAGTGGTGCGCGTGGGAGGGGGGGTTTGAGGGGGGCGATGTTGTGGGTGGGTGTTTGCGTTGGGGTGGGTTTTGGGTTGGTGGTTGGGGGTGTTGGGGTTTGAGGGGATTGTTTTGATGGATTCGTGTTTTTTGGGGTTGGCGCCACAGGTGGGTGGATATCGATCTTATGTGGGCATCATGAACTGATTTGCGTGTTTTGTCGAGGTGCATTATATCGGCATCTTCACTGTGTCGGTTGATTCCTGGAGAGTTGGAGACCATGGTCTAGAAGTGCTTCATCTAAGCAGCCACTGTATAACTCACTCGACTGTTCCCTTTACTCCTGGCAATCTTTTTCACAGTTGTCGTACCGCACTCCTCACTCGTCCCAACATGCGTCCCGCCACAAGGGTAACACTCAGCCCCCCTGATCCGAACAATCCTCCATTTCTCATCCGGTTCCATCCCGCCCATCCTTTCTTGCGGTATCAATCTCTCAAGTCTCTCTCTCTTGAAATCTTCTTCGTCCCACCATTCAATCTCTACAGGCATTGCAGCAGCAATATATTCATCTACCTTTTTCTGTATCTCCGGTTTCCACTTCCCATCTATGGAGCCCTGGAATTCGCAGGCGGCGCTGTCGGGGAAGTGGCTGGCTTTCAGTTCATCGAAGCCTGCTATGGAATCTTGAAGGAGGTGACGAACTGCGGCGCCGAGGACGTGGCCGGCTGTGTGATATTTCGAGTATAGTAGCCTCTTTTCAGTGTCGATATTTTGAGTGACTGATTCTCCCTCTTTGAATACTGCATGCGGGGTCGTGAAGCGGCCATAATGGAGGACCTGTCCATCTTTGACAGAATCCATGCGGACGGAGTGGACATCGAATGTAACGGTTGAGGTGGAGATTGTTCCTGTGTCTGATGGCTGGCCGCCGCCTTGGGGGTGGAATATTGTTTCCGGGGTGATGAGAACGTGATCTGTATCTTGAGCATCTTTGAAGAGGAGACGGTTTTCCGGTGCAAGATCTGTGATGGCATGGATTGATTTGATCTTTGTTTCGAGCGTGTGGAGACTGCTGTCGTGTTGGAATGCGAGATGGGTTCGATTTGGATTTACCTGCAGGAATTTGTTATTGAAAAGCGTCGTTGCAGACGTTGGAACTTGCCTTACCATGGTGTGATGGAGATACTGTCTAGTTTCCGCGAAGTTATGGGAGAATCTTCTTGTTACGTATCTTTCATATACAGATATATGTCTACGTCTATATCTATAACCGAAGCAGATAAAAAAAGTACGTGCACGCCCTACGCTTGACAAGTACACTCAAGAAATGATTCGACAAGGGAAAGCATGCAGCATGTAAGACAGAAAGCGCTAGAATGGACTAGACGAGCGCTCAATGGCGATTGAGTAATACTGAGATGGAAACGAGATGGAAATCAGGTCCGTTCGATGATACTGGTAACGGAAGGGAGTGATCCGTTCCTTGAAAGATCCCGAGCGTAGATATGTGTTAGTAAGCCTTCGTACTCGTACCGACACTTGCAATTTTTTATTTATAGGATGGCCATGCCGTGGGTATCATGTTTTTGGGCGTCGTCGCGCGGTCAGATTTCTTTGTCGAGAAATCGAAGGGGAAGATCTAGCGGAGATCCTGTTCTTTCTGCAATGCAATATTCCAGTACAGAAACATCCTCGAAAATCCACATAGAGATGCAAAAAATGAAACAAATGATGCGAAAAACGTGCACAGAATTTAACTCTTAAACATTCCAACATATAGATTTCTATCCTACAACAGAAAGGCGAAAATCAAAACAGCTCTCCACAAAACGCCTCAATCCCCTCCCTCCATCTAGTATTGGGTATATCTTATTGTAACGCGCCATGCCAGACGCAAATTCAAAACTCCAGAAAGCCCATTACATACTCCTCCAACACCATCTTACGCCGTCACCAATTACACCGTCACCAAGAACCATCGCATCATCCCCAAGCAACCGAGGAAACCATGACTAGCAGCTCTACATGAGCGGACCTTAAGGACTGATAACCCTTGGTTGGTTGTCGTACAATTCCGCCAATTTGACACGCAGTTCTTTGGCGTTGACTTCGTCCTCATCAGGGCCGCCAGAGGCAGGGCTAGCCGGTGTCGTGAGCGCGGTGCCGCTCTTCGATTCAGTCCTGTCAAAAACGCTGGCTGGCTTGGATGCGTTGCAGCTCGTGCAAACATGTTCACGGCCAACAGGGGCGCTTGCGATCGATGCATTACGAGATTCGGTCCATTTGACAGAAGAAGCGCGACTGCTTTCGTCAACAGGAACGCCATCGACCAAGGTGGTCTTTTTGGGTCGGTCTTTTCGCTCCATCGGTCGTAGGGTACGCGTGTTTTCGTCGATACACCAGCCTTGCACGGTTCCTTCTTCCAGGATGAATCTGCCAGTCGAGTTCCACGCCATAACATAGGTTTTTCCATCGTCCATGAGGTAGAACCCTCGGAGTTTGGGTTGGCCATTGCAGTAACTTGGGTGTTTGATCGTCTCTGTTCGCCGCCGCTTTTCGCGATCGCTGACAAACATCCAGCGATGCAGGATATTGCAGTATATGACTTGTTGTGGGAGTCTGAGAGCGCAGTCTTCGGGGTTATCAACAGCAGTGAGGTACCAGCCTCTTCCGGGTTTGTGCTGATAGTGTCCTGGGATGGAGACTCGTGACGACTTTCTCCAGTGCTCGGGCTCAGGATTTGGCGTTCGGTTTTCCGATCGAGAGGAGGAACCCCATTTGTGCGGATTGACGAGTATTCTCAGTGCTGTGAGAGGATTTGGCGTCATTTTGATGAGAGAACACGAAAAGTGATGGAATCTCGCTCTAAGGGCGAGGGACGAGGATTTTGATGTTGGGTGCGCACAAATGGCGACCCTTGATAAGAGTTTCCTGCAGGCTTGTGATTCCTGAAAGCGAGGTATGTGCCAAGAAATGTAAGGGGAGAGAGAGATTTTGAGTTGTGCGGATGGCGAGAAATTGAGAGGGTTTTGCAGTAAAAAATAACAGCAGAAATTGGATTTCCGTGGTTCCAGTGTCCTGACTTGGTTTAGACCGTTGCTGTTGAGACTGAGAGTCAGTCGTCGGCTGGACCCTTCTCAAGCAATTTTATGGAGAAAGGGATGAGAGGCGATAGTGAGACACAATCATCAAAAACTTTTCCAACGCTTGCGAAAGCGTCCGTTACATATGGACAGGACACTAGCGTCTCTCCTCCTATTCTGCTTATCTTGAGGTTAGGCGGTGGTGCGACAGCCAGCCTGCTCGACCAAGACTATCGCATCATTTTCTGACGCCACTTCTTCTGCCGGGCATTAAAGGATACTTTTGTCAACAGGCCTTATCAGCGGCTTTCCATTTGAAATGTTCATCCAGAGCCAATCATGCATAGGCGTGTCATCTCGATGGTGTTGAGGTGGAAGTCGCAGTCTGCATCTCCCTCACCGACCAGCCGGGTCGGTACGTCTTGTAAGGCAGCTAAACATTTCGGGATATCGAGAGGATCCCCGCGGATCTCCGCATTGCATCTGCGAGCTTTTTTCAATTCGCTGGTCGCGCCGAGGACGCGAAATGGTTGCGGCCTGAACCTAGGAACGAAGACCAAATGTTTGTGGAGGTGAAAGGTATGTAGTG